ATCGTTGTGTTCACTCCCAGGGGAACTACTTCGAGGGGGATGGATGAATTTAATACCTGAGATAAGTGTACGGGTTTTTATACGCGCAGTCTGGAAACCTTCCGATCGCACCTCGTACATTACTCCATACCCGACATAGGAATTTTTTCGGTAAACTGAATTTCATTAAGGACGAAATTTACTATTTATTTATTTGTTAGAGCATGCAAATTTTAAAAGCCTTGGAAACAAGCTACCTGCACCAATAACGACATTCATAAAGAATGGCGTTGGAGTGACCAATTTCATGCAAAAAATAACGAATATGTAGCAAACAAGTAAATTAAATAATAATACCAGTTTTCACTTACTCTTGTACACGTTTTAGTTATATTACGTGTTATTGACGAAGACGTCCTTGCAAATCCTCACACAGACTGTCACCAAAGATTTGATTCTTCCTCTGCGACTCACAGTCACACTTCAACTACAATCTGTTGCGAAACAGCTCTTGTATTATCATAAGAACAGTCCTCAAGAATCCTAACAAAACTAACAGGGAGAAGAATACTTTTTATTTTCTTAACCTGACGTAACTTCCACGTCTATAGATACAGGTGTACCACAACAGATAGGAAAACAGACGACGCACACAATTCGCATTTACGATCTTTTTCGTGTCTGTGTGTGCCAATGGTATATTTGAACCACGCGTAGTTATTACTATACAAACAATTGAACTTAAAAGGATTTACCGAACTATGAAATTTAGCCGTCAAAACTCCTGTCTCATATTACACGGGTCCGATTTGATTCTCGGTACACAGACCAGCTATCCAGAGATATTTAATGGTTTTACTGAGTATACATAAAACTTCTAACCACGATCTCAATAAGAGTCAGGCCACACAGACAAATGCTGATGTAATAGCGTAGAGCACTATTTCACAAACTTCAAATGATGTTTATCAGCGATAGCTTATCCATAAGTGACTGTTATCTTTTAAGAATGACGAAGTTCTTGGGTTTAGTTCGATAAAATGAGGTGAAAGTGTATAGCATAATTTCCAAGAATTTATCCGGCAGGAATAGAATGAAGAAACACATACAGTGGAATTTAAAGACAGTCTTACTTAACAGTTAAGTATGCAAATGCAACCGACTCTTCAAATCAAATTAAAGAAAATATTAAGTATGTAAATGCAATCGACTCTTCAAATCAAATTAAAGAAAATGAATTAAATAAATTAATTTCAAACAAACCACCTTACTGAAATTTCTACCTCAGCATCCTAGAAGACACAAATCTTCTGTCACGGACATCGAAGAAACGACGCAGATTTCAGATTTTAATTTCTCTCCCCAAGCAATTTCAAAATCACTGAAGCACAGACGTCACGCTAAGTTGACATCAACTATGCATAACGCATAACGTCAAATGATATATAATGACGCATGTCCGTCATGAATCTGATTACGTAACAGACAAATCTTCATTTAGACAATTCTGGTTGTCTTTTAAACGGCCTGACTCTAAATTTGCATTAAATCCATTGCAATACCATTACTTCCGCCAATTCGTATGCAATTAAATGACATTCAGTAATTTAATACGACGTTTCTAGTGTCACAAAATTCGGCCAATCTACAGGCAGGGACGCCAACATTTAACTGCCTCAAAACTCCCCTTTGAACCGTCTTAGTACGTACACGCAACATAAATAATATATTTTTGGAAGAGGTTTTCAAAATTATAACCAAGTCCTACACGCGAAACTAAAATTCGGTCGCCGGCCTGAAGCATTGGGAAAAGATAACGCGACAAATTATTATTGTTATTATTATCATCAATACAATATTTGTTTTTAAGTTGTTAATGATGAAGAATAAAAGATTTTGCACACATGTTTGTCCTCCACATACGCACAACCGATACAATGTTAAAAGTTAAAACGTACTAGATTATTTTTATAATTCTGTAAACAACTACTTTAACTCCACGTAAACATTTAAATTTTGTTTACTGACTTTATCTGATAACACTATTGATGACGTATGGAAGAACACCGAAAAGTTTCTGCCGATATATGAACATAAAATAAACTAACAAAATAAAATTTCTCAAATGGAAACCTGGTCCCAGTCGCGGCACTATACGAGGTGCGATCGGAAAGTTTCAAGACAGTTTCTATTGACACAGTCTGGAAACTTTCCGATCGCACCTCGTAAATTTCCCACACTCTCGTGTACGAAAGCCAATCATCCGCACATTCCCATAAATTTTGGCGAAGTGGCTAGAACTCGTGTCTCGCAACTGGAGGTTCTCAGATTCGAATCTCGTACATGAACCAAGTGTTCCGACTATTTTCCAAATTTCCTCTAGGCCATCGGTTGACAATGGCGACCTCCAGCTATTTTCATAACAATACAAAGTAGAAAGAAGCAGCCATACCGAGATCCTTTAACTGTTCCCATACCTGATTCACTACGGCGTTTCAATTTCGGTACTGCGGGGATGGTTCAAGACTCGCGTCATTGAACACATGCGGATTTCGCCTCATTACGTTTGTGAAGGTACCGCGATGGTTGGTAAGCATGTGGGTCACTAAGCCACTGCACGACATTGCCACAATTGTGGCTCAGGTCGTAATTTGTTAAAATCCATCGCTCATTTCAGTCCAATGTCGGGGCCACGAATACGTCGAGATATATTTCCACATCTTACGTTTTCAAGGTGTTGTTTGACTCCTTAAAGTCGAAGCTCGTCTAAACATCATTTATGAATTCAGTCCGAACCGCAAAGAAAACATAGCACTTCACCATTTCAAAGACCAATTTGTTAACGCTGTTTAAGGAAATGATCGCTGTTTACACCAAGAATCATGCGAAAAATATCTGCAATAGTTATGAGACATCTTTTATGTTGCAGTGTGTCGAAATGACACGAATCTCTTAAGTTATATTTGAAAAATAAACACTACCCAATTTCCTATTCCAGCACACCCATTTTATTTTCCACAACGCTAAAGGATTTAACATGCGAAAGACTTCCTCATTGCAGGGACCTCGGCACATACATGACACACAGAAATGGAGGTCATTGCAGTGAATGAAGTGGAATTCCCCATGCCATGAAAATAAACCAAGTGCGATATGACGAAGGACAACACATGCAAGCTGCTGGGTATTTGCACAGGCGAAGCTCCTCATGTGTGACACTTTTCGTACGTGGTTACGTAATACCAAGATTATCACTGTTACCACGAAACGCAATGATTATTCCCGGGCCTGAGCCAGTCAACGTCACCACAACTTATTTCCGTGTGATCCGTTTTAATATTATTCCACTGTCCGTGTAAAGACCTCCCAAATTCACTCTGCCCTTCAGATTTTTAAACAATGGCTTCGCATTATGAGACAGAATCACAGATTGACGGTGTTTCAGCATAACGTGCTAAAAATAATATTTTATTTGTACCAAAGACTTCGTCACCTAATGTTATTAGGGCGGTGCAACTAAGACCCGCATCTCTCATGAGGAGATTATAACTCAGCACAGAATATTCATGATACTCAGGGGGGAAACACCGCTATTGAGCCCTGTGTGCAGGTGGAATGATAAAATTAAAACGTACCATTGAGGCATAGAGTGCGGACTGTAATCAACTCTCACGTGACAGGGTCTGCGAAGACGCTGACAAACCTCCGGGTTCAATAAAAGACGGAAAACGTATTGATCAGCTGAGAAACTATAACCATTTTAAGTAAGACTCTACAATATGACGTCACAGGCGCCTATGTTACCGAAATGTTTGTTTCCTTGTTAGGGTTTTCAACCAAAATCAAATACGTACGAATCTGTTTTCCCCACTGCGTGTTACGTGCTACAGCCAGTTGATTTATTCTCACTGATATCTAACGAAAAGAAGGTCTATACATCCAAAAGCTCTTCGCTTCCTTCAAAGAGGAACGTGGAATGAAAGCACAGTGGAAATTCGTGGCTCAATACGTACGACTAATCTATGAATTTCGGTTCTGTCTCTAATAAATAACCATACAGACAAATGAGGTAATATGCAAGACAACAACGAACTGTTAAATTACGCTCACCTTTCAGATCCGAAGCGAAATTCGCCTTCAACATATCTGTTTCACATTACCACTACCAGACTTCCCACTTCACTGCAAACTAGTTATCAGGCACACGGTAAAGCACGTAGTAACCATTAAAGTGTTGCACGATAGTCCTTTCATGGCTATTAACAGACAATACGAGGCACGGTTTAAGTGTGAGCCAACAAAAGTCTAGCAAAGGCCGGCTCGCTTACCTCGAAGACAAAAACCTGTCTGGGGACTCTGGCAACGTCTCGACATAAAACATCCGAAGCAAACAACAGCGCCAGTCCATTGAAGTGAGTAAAAACTCGTTATGGTGTAATTTTTGTAAAGCCATTTTGATAGTTTGCTAAAAAAATTTAAGAACCACTGTAAAAATAACCTAAATGAGCTCTTATGTATATATTTATAATCCTTTGACAATCTTATAAAAACTTAATATAGCCTATGAGTACATTAACATTTCCTATGATTTATAAGTTTTAATTAATATTAAATCACTTCAGTGGGACACATGAAAATTATGAGAGAAAAGAAATCTTTCACATCGACTGAATGCATCGAGTACCATTTATGTCTTAAGTCTCTTTAGAAGATCAAAACACTCTTTTGTCTAGACGGGGCTGTCAGCTAAAACAGCATCACTATGACATGTCAAATCAATTGATATGATTATTCAAGTCTTTCAGAAATGAGAGCAAAAATTCCCTCTGTTCCGATTTATTGCGACAAGTGTTGGTATAAAAGGTGACAAGTTCCTTGTATAGTACACGACTGTAATCTTGAAACTTGCAAGGAATGCAGGAAGTCCGTAGCGTTAAAGGCAGAGGCTATCTTTCCTACTTCCTCCTTAACCTCACTTCCTCACCCCGCAAGTCACAAGATTACAGTCGTGGACTGTAGTAGAATTTGAGGTGCTCACGGGGGTAAGTACGAACATGTCAGTCTCCTAGGTTGTGGCACCAGAGTCTGGTGAAATGTTACAGATGTTTCTGAAGTCATTGCTGTCTTTGAAAATGAAGGCTAATATTAAAATATTAAAATATACCATGACTGGCTGTAGTACAAGTTCAAACTATTTCAGAGATACGCCATATAAATCAGTAAAATATGAAGGAGAAATTAATTTTAATTGTTGGACTCCAATATATGAATCAATAACCAAAAAAAAGTAGTGATATATTTGAAATAACTCGATTAGATTTCTAGGTACGCTGACAGACGCAAATATCGAGCTGAGTAACTTCAAACCCGTTAAACGATCAATTAGCCAATCAACAAATATCTCACTCAAAAGAAAACACTACAGAAATGAAAATCCAGAGGAGGGAGAGAGAGAGAGAGAGAGAGAGAGAGAGAGAGAGAGAAACGAAAGGATTAGAGAAATCTTGAGGATGGATCGAGAGGAGATAGAGAGAAGACAACTGATTTGGTACGGACACGTGCAAAGGATGGAGGAGGAAAGGTTACCAAGGAAGACTATGAAATGGCAACCAAAAGAAAGAAGGAAGAGAGGAAGACCGCGACCAGGATGGAACAACGGATTTACAAGAACCATGAAAGAGTGGAAAGTACCTCCGGAAGGATGGGAAAATAGAGAAGAATGGAAGAAGAAATAATGAATGTGTACTTACCAAAGCTTCATGAGGCTAATTTGTTGTTGTCCTTTCCAGAACAGTAATTAAACACAACTCGTCCAAAGTCATGCTAAGTTTCAGTTCTATGATACTGGTCTCTAATGCAAAGTTTACATATCATCAGGCGAAGTTGAAGAACAGGCCTTTCGGCATGCTCTTGTATTGATGAATGTCGTGCATGAATTTACAGCTGCATTAAAAGTTTCACAGAAACATGTCACAATTCTATCACATACTGAGACATACATTTCTTTTACTTGCGGTTTACATATATAAAACAAATAATAAAATACGACA